TAGATTCCAGAATTAACGAAATTAACACTAAATTTGCACAAAAATGTATTTTATCAGAACATGCTTTGATAAGCAATTTGTATATAGTAGATTAGGTGTATACAGTAGTTGTAGGTTAGTTGTAGTTGTAAATAGTAGCTATAAGTAGTTGTTGTTTTTTAGTATTTGTAAGTGCTAGTGTCTTTGTTTCGAGTATTTTTTAGATTATCGTTGTTTTTTGTTTAGTTCCGTAATAGTGTAAAAAATGGCAGATAATGTTCGTGAGTGTTGTGCAGTTTTCTCCGTTGCAAACTCCCTAGTAGGCAGAGGTAGGACAGCTTACTGTAGAACGCAACAATCCACCCCACCGAGAATTTCAAAAACCCGCCACCAGATGGACAAACAACTGCCTGTTGGGAGGCCATGGGGGGTGGCGATAGAGATGGCCATTTTGAATGGACGATAACGGGCACGACAAACTGGCGATGAACGACGAATGGCCCGGGTCACTGGCCGACAGCCTGGAGCAGTGACCCAATGACTCACTCAACTCTGAAATTAATAATGACTGATCGTAAGACCACCAGCGAAAACGGTTTATCAAGAAAGCAAGCCAGCTAAATTGACGCAAGTAAGAGTGGAAACAGTGAAAAAGTGTGAGGAGAGAGTCAAGGACAGCAGGACCCCGCTGTATTTAGTACAGATCACCTGTACGCAGTGAAGTTCCGGTAGACGTACCGGAAGGTTACACCGTCATTGCCTGCCGGCCGAGTTCGTCACCAACTCACAGGCCCAGGAAGAGTAACCTGGTGCTCGTCATCGCCACCCCGTACAGCAAGCGCGCGAACGAGATACACGACGAGAAAGTGGAGAGGAAGCGGACGTCGACCGAGGACAAGCGGTCGACAATCGAAGACACATAGTGGAGGTGTTGCGAGGGGCCCCGACGAAGAAACCAGGTCAGAGAGATTGTAAGAAAGTGGGAGAATAAGGTAGTAAAGAGGGAGAATAAAAGTTCAGGAAAGTGCAATAAATGTCTATTCTTGAGTAGTGAAGTGCTTGTGGAGTTTTTTCTGTGTGTCACGTGCGATCATTCCCTGCCCGCGTAATTGCAATCGGTAAGCGTGCCGACCCTGAGGCCATTGGAGTCAGGGAGTCTCGAAAGTGCTCCTGACTGAGGTGGCTGACACTTACATATTTTTTAAAGCAGCCAAAATAGGTGGAAAGAGAATTTATCTGCAGATCCGAAATCTCATCGTGCGTGATTGCCAAAGAATCGAATCGCAACGCAAAAAGCCGGAAAGTATGGAATAAGCCGTGGTACAATTCAGAAGATCTGTTTGAAGTATCAATTGCTTGGAAGTGTTGCTGATCAATGTGGAAGAGGACAAAACGAAAAAGTGATTCACGAAAATACACTAGAATAATAATGAAATAAAAATGATCCACGCATCACCATCCGCGCAGTAAAAGAAAGGCTGAATCTGTCAATTTCTGATCGAACCATTCGACGACGCATTACTGAACATGGTTTGAAGAATCATTTTGCTCGGAAGCTACCATTTATCAGCAAGACCAACAAGTAAAAACGGCTGATATTTGGCGGAGGAAACACGCCGGAGGAAATGTTACGGTTTGAGGCTGTTTCTCATGGTTAGCTGTAGGGAATAAATATTCATCGCTTATTGACCGCAGATGTGTATATCGATATTCATTGTGAAACTTTGGAAGAGTCCTTGTTGAAAATGGGACTGGAAGATATCTACACGTTTCAGCAGGAGACCGAGCAGGAAGCACACGGCAAAGAATGCACTTACTTTTTTCCGTTCCTGTCTCATAAAGTCCATGGAATGCCCACTTCACAGCCCCAATTTGAACCCAATCAAAACTCTTTGGGTTATCCTCGATAACTGTGTGGAGAAAACCGGTGTTACCAACAATCAGCAGCACTGCTTTTGGCCTGGGACGATTTGGATCCTCAGCAGTTGATCATTGAAGCGAAGGAATTTCAAATTGACTGTTAGTCATTTGTTTTGGTTTAGTTTTATTTGATTATTTCTTCAAACAGAAAGTGGATCTATTTTTATGTCATACCAATTAAAATACTTTTTAACATAAAACTTATTTATTTGAAATTCTGCAATAAAAATCATTCAAATTATTATTATTATTGTTTTAGGGCATATAAATCAAAATCACGGACTGTCTTGAAAATTAATAAGTTTTGTTCAAATGTTTACATTTAGTGTGGGTGGATCTTTTTTCTGCCGATCACTGTAAATGTCTGAATTAACGAACCGTCCGGTATTTGATGCATTACGGTATTTGCATTGGATAGTAATAAAAAAATATAATAAAAAAAATTGTCATTTTGGATACGGCTTGCGCTCTACTTATAGTAAACGAAACAAACTTAAAACAAAATCTGCGGTTGGAAGAGGCAGGGACCTCCCTTAGTTCAGTCAGTAAAGGCATAGCTACAAAGCAAGACCATGCTGGAGGTGGCTGGGTTCTATTTCCGGTCCGGTCTAGGAATTTCCGAATCGGAAAACTTTTCGACTTCCCTGGGAATAGTGTGTGATCGTACTTGCCATATAATTATACTAATGCAAAAATGGTAGAGACATCGAAAGCTCTCAACTAACAACTGTGGAAGTGTATCTAGAACACTAAGTAGAGAGCAGGAAGGAGAAGCCTGGGAGAGGATGGAATGGGTTGATTGGAATTCTAATCTAGATAATAAATTCTTCCATTCCCTAGAATTACCACTAAAAAAGAACGCCACAACATGATTAACCTAATAGTGCTCCGTGAAAAATTCTTGCAGCTGTCGCGTGCCTTTTAATATAGGAGTTTGCTTTGGGCCAGTCAATAATTACGTAGCCACTGAGGGGTGTGGGGTTATTAGAAAATTTCTTACGATTTCTAACATAGAGGGAGGGGCTCTCGGAAATATAAGTGTGAACAAGTCATATACAGGCCATTCAGATATTCAATTTAAGATTTTGTAAAGGGGTGAGGACGGATTTTGTTAAATATTACTATGTGTTATTATGGAGGGCGCGGGGTCTGAAAATCCTAAAAAAGTGCCTACGTAATTATTGCATGACCCCTGTCAACTTTTGATCTTCGCATCCGTCTTACTTCACATATACAGTATCCCACACTCACTCAGTAGTATCGATCACAGCACACGCGTGTGCGCCGTATCCTCATCCTCATCCTTTTCTAACATCGTCACCACTCCCAGGTCACCACTAGCAGGATAATGGGGATGGATGCCTGTCAGTTTTGGGCATGGCTTCAAGATTGACCAGAACAGCAGCCGTTTGGGAAGCTGTTTGCGCAGAGGGGGTGAAACCGATTTTTTAAACTGCTGTTTTGTGATGGTTCATGTCCAACAAAGACCAGTCCGAGCCCGAAAAGTTCAGCTTGGGCGTCGTGTGGCAGATGTTTCAAAACTTTCAGTTGGATTACAACAACTATTGTAGGTGATTTTCTTCATTTCTCAAATATTACGATTTTCATGCTGGTTTCGATTGTCGCTTTTGGGTGCAGCCACAGCGTGGCCGACCACCATCAGCATCAGGCGCTTCATCGATCGGTAGGTAACAACACGGACGCGAGTGGAGATGAAGATGCCTCCTCCAGGCGGCTGAGAGGAAGGTCTGCGTAAAGCAGAGAGAAAACATGTGCCCGTAATGAAGGCGGCTTTGAGAGATCCGGTGCAAATTGTAACGTATACGTCTACCACCTGCCTCCCTTTCGAAGCGATCAGTTCCGTCAGCTCGTTTGTTTGTGTACCAAAACACGCTCGTATGGGACTGTTTTGGACCGGCAAAAAACAATCAATAGCGATTCGTTCTTCACCGCGAAAGAAATGAACGAAGTCAATGAAAACGTAAACTCTTTTTGTGTGATCCGTGAAAGCAGATTACAGCTGAAGAACGCTGCTATCTTACTGAGAATTATTAGTAACGGTTCCGTGAAACAAATGAAGCTACTGAAATCCGCTGATTGCTGTTTTCAATAATGCAGCAAAAGCCGGAATAGTCGGCTTATAGAGAAAAAATGCCAAATTTAGAGAATGATCCTATCACACAGTAAATACCCTTGCCATATGCTGCAAATTTCACAAGGCGAACTCGTGCTACGGATGCTGTTGACCCAACTACCGAAATAGGGACCACGGTCGAACCTTCATTAAAATTGATTAGAGATCAATTCCGATAACTTTAATTAGGTGCTGACTGGCTACATCCCATCCATCGTTATCCACATGTTGCATTTCACACGTGCTTAGGGTTCTAACTTTTCACTGGAACTAACGATCTTTCTAGAATGATTTCACACTTTGACAGACTGGCAGCTGTTTTGATGTCGGAAAGCGTATGGTTTGGGCAATAAAGTCAAATAGAGAAATGATACTTAGCCAGATTGATTTTTGACCGGCCTACCGGTATCTAAGTACATCGGAAATTTATTTTTCCTTCGGAATCCCATCAGAGTTCCGCAGACCTCCCTGAAAGTCAACTAGAACCATCTTGGACAACCTTCTTAATCGACTCGTTTGAATAATCTGAAGTCAGTTTTAGTTTCAGCAATTAATCTACACCTGCTAACCTGCTTTGTAACTTAAGTGTCTGTTGTTCGCCAGCCAAAAATAAGCCAACAAGCGGTGCGGTGGCGTGAGAGCACATTCCACCTACATCCAGCGATGAACAAAGCGAACGAAAAAAGTTGGTGCAGCGCTGGCTTAAATTGAAAGAGGCGAGAGCTTCGGAAAGAATTTCTGGAATTTCTATTATATTTTAATTTTTAGATGATTTCCCCCTTTCTACCGAGCTTCCAGTGCGAAACGACTACCGCGTAGGCTAACTTCCCGGCTTTTACTTAATTGCTTAGGGGTCTTTTGTTTTTGCTTCTGGCCTCTCCATTCGGTGTGTAAGATTTCAGTAGCGAGAGGAACTGTAACATTTACCACACTATTCGCTTCCGGCAGGGTAGGTATCTCGTGCTGTAGGTCTATTGTTTACTGCCGTTTTCGGTGCTCTCACCGGAACAGCCTAGTGGAATTTGGTAGAAAATCCAAACGATTGGCGCAGGCGGGTAACGATCGTAAACGATGCCATTTTCGGTTAACGTTTTATCAAGCCGTAAATCTGCAGCTTCATCGCCCTGGAATGCAGAAGATGATATCATCGTCATAATGATCTGTGTTTGAGAAATTTGAATTACCCTATCAATATTTGATCTCCAGGTGTATTTCTTTGCATCTTGATTAAAGCACAGAAAACACTCCTGAATGTCTGCTACAGTGTCCTCCTCACACACAGTTATCTCCTGAATTTGGAACGTAAGATTGTTGATCACACGAATTTTTCTCTGCTGAGCAGTGATCCTACCGATCATCAGGCTTCTATCATTCCACCAATAATGCCCCGTAGATTTATTTCTAATCATGACCGGCGGAAACATAGGAACCCTGACGCCATCCTTACTAATTCTATAAGCTGGTCTGCCATTTTCATTGAATTGCGAGCTCAAATCTTTACCCGCAAAGGCAAGCAGCAGTTGATGAATCTGGTAATCCATTAAACAAATCGAATGGCAAATTACGGAGCACATTAATCATGCCAGATCACTTACCTTTTTCGGTGAGTTTGAATTTTGATCGAACAGAGGCGTAATATCGAAGACGTTCCCATGGACGACAACCCACGCACGGTTGAGTTTATTATTCACAACGACTTCATCTCGAAGGTAAAATGTTTCCCGTTGTTGAAGTCGCAGCTCGGATGGCATTTTACCCTTACTTAACTCAAATCAACCTAACTCAAAAACACTGTTGTTGTTGACCCAGAAAATCATGGCTATCTTTGTGTGATTTGGGACTTGAATGTGAGAAATTTGTTGATTCAAATCAAGGTACTAAACAGTTTAAAGAGTTAAGTCCCAAGCGCAATGACAGCGGAAGCGGAACGGCAGCGGCAGCGGAAAAGCCCGATCAGAGTAAGCCTACTTGTTGGAGTTAGAACCACATCGTATTCGATAGGCAGCTTGATGTCATTTGTGACAACTATCAAACTTTTCGTTTCCGTTCCGCTTCCGCCCACATTGCGTTTGGGCCTTTATGCCGCGGATACATTTGGATGACAAACTATGAGAATGAGCATTATTGGCATTATAATTATGAGCACTATACAACAACTATACAAAAACTATACAAGTGTGACCATGATCAGAAAACAAGCAGACCCAATTTTGATACCCGATCCAGGTTGGAACTGAATAATAAGCGAATTAGCTATTACTTTGGTTCAGTTGTTGTTATTGCCGTTCAGGGGAAAAAATTGACGTATCTGACAGCCACAGCATGCTTATTGAAGCTGATAATCTTAAGCTGAATGCTAGTTTTTCTCTGAATTGGCAATATTTTTATTGATATTTCAATGCAACATCACATATTTTGACTAATATTTTTTTTCTCCGCAGCCATGAGAAATATAGCAAAATTTTAATTTGTGATATAAATGCTTATCATAAACTCTGGGTTGTCACCTAATAGTCTTCCACAAAATAATGAACATCCATAACATTATTTGCTTTGTATATTTGGTTGAAGAATGAAGTGATTTTACTCTGCAACAATATTGAATATAACAAAACGGTGCTTTCGAGAAATAAGACTCTGGTGTATGTTTGAGGGAATCTAAGGAATTTTCTCTAGAACGATATCAAATACAACAAAGGGTGGTCATAGACTCTGAGTGTTAACTGGGTGATCCACTGGAGGACACGGAACATCCGTAAATTGATAATATCAGGCGTGACATTTGATAATGGCACAAAAACTTTTGTAAACAAACTTTGTAAGGCCCTTTGCACGTGAACCGAAGAACGCCCACGCAAACCAACAACAATAGAGGCAACTCTCACCTTTCCGAAAGTGGTATTGGTTTGCGTGCTTACTTTGGTTCACGTGCAAAGCACCTTACAAAGTTTGTTTACAAAAGCTTTTGTGCCGTTATCAAATATTACACCTGATATCGTGTATTTGGTCTTAAAATGCAGGAATTTTTCACTAGAATATCACCAAATATTACAGCAAATAGTTTTCCTGATGTGAAACCCTGTTCCAACGAAACATACGCAGAATTGATAGGTTCGTATATATTATTCTGGTTCCTACATTTTTTCTACATCATTATAGGATGCACCAAATGGCAATTTTACTATAATCAAACGATAAGTTTCAAACAGTTTTCGGATGGTTATCTGGAAGATCTGTAATACCCGTAAAACTGATTGCATCGTAGATTAGGCTTAATGTGACTTTTGTTTGAAGATGATCGAAGAAGTTAGATCTTAATTATTTTTCACTGTTGCCACATTTTACGAAACGACAGGATCTTGTTTGCTACACATATTTTGATTCATTAATGAATTGAAAAATAAACTGATCAGAAACTTCTCGTAAAATGCTCTATACACTATTTCGCGTCATATCACAGTGACGGTTTCATTGGATTTGTTTTGTAAGTTGTTGAGAAAGAGTGAATCGCTAATATAAAGCTCATTAATCATCACACGCTGAAGGTTACGAGTTCACATCTCAGTGAATGACCTAAAAAGTTTTTAAGTTCATAATAATAAAAGAAAAAAAAAACATCAATTCATTCATTAGACCATAACTTCGAACATTTCTCTACTTACTGTTAAAATTCCAGCTTCATGGTGAAACAAACAAGTTATACCGATGCAAACATTGCTATTCGTATGCCTGTTCATACAGATAAAAACCGCATAAAGCGTGTTAGGCCCTACCCAAAATTAAGACAGGTGGTGTTCATTTGAAACGCTAATAATTTTTCGGGGTTAACTCGGATTCACATCTGGTCTTGAGTCAAGATGTTTCCAATAATCCAAAAGTTCTAAATTTTGTACACGAAGAAAATCTATCAACTAGTGGCTCGTTTTTCCATAAATTTTGTCAATTTTTCCCAGTGTTTTGAGGATCATTTCAAATTTTGGCAGGGTGTTTCTGGCCCCCCAAACTAACATTCCAGGGGGTAGCATTTGAAATATTTCCGTTTTTCCGCAAGTGTGGCTATTCCGATTAAAAAATATCATTAATGATAGTAGTTTCGTAGTGGACTTATCTTGCAATGGAATGTTTTTGGTGTATAGATTTAGCCGGTGGTTTGTTTGGAAGAGCAAGTGAAGTGTTGGAGCGGAGGAGTGTTGTCCGTTTGGCCAGCGTCGGTTAGAGATGGGAGGGTGAAGGGAGAAAAGCCATCCTGCAAGAGCTGCAGCCACTGAGGATCGTCAAAAGCCTGGAGTATGTGGATTTGAAAGGATCCTCCATGTAATATAACGGAAGAGGCAAACAATGATAAGTCATGAGTGTGTGTGTTTGTGTATGTGTGTATCGTGTGGATGTGCATGTGCGTGTGCGTGTGATTATGTGTTTGTGTACCTATTATAAATCGCTACAATCAGCATTAGTTTACCCAAACGATCCCTGCTGCAAACCTTTCCCCACATCCAACATCCCAGTGATTTCTCATGGTATCGCAGAGGACTTCTCGGTTTCCTTCACAGCGAGTATCACGTTAACACATTCCTTGCCATTCCCTATTTGACCTGCATTCGGACACGGCCGGAGCTGGTATTGCAAAATATTAGATCTCCTGAATATGAATGTTAGTCCCAAACATCATCTGTTGGTTCTCTGTGTAATTGCAGCTGATTAGGCAATAACAGAGCAGCAACCGTGGGCGGTCAATCACCCTGCCCTTTGGTTCAGTGTGGGTTAGGGCACGTTCTGCCGGGTTGGTCGAGGCAGATTTCATGTGTGAGTAAGTGATGAACATTGTTATGTGCAATTCACTTTAAAAGGTGCGCTTCATATTTCACCACATGTAGTTCCAAAGAGCCTGAACGAAATGTGGCGCTTGCGAAGATCACTTGAAGATACGATATGACGGAATATTGATACTAAGGTATAAAACACAAGTAAATTTTTCCAGAAATAAGTTAAGATAACATATTGAAAAATGTGTTAATTGTCAGTGAACAAATGTCATGTTGCATTGAAGTACTTTAAATAGTGTTAAATTTAAATGTTCCCTCATTTCACATCCGTTGAACCATTCTGAACGGCCATTCCGTAGTGGTTATATCACATCATTGCTAATAATGTATATATCTATACCTTTCCGGTACCATGGAATCGACAAAGTAAAAGTATAAGGAGTGCCGCAAAAAGATGCACATGGGATACGAAAATGGAATGATGCTCGTGTTACGGTTTTATAAGACGCAACTAGGAACTCAAGATCATCATACTAAAAATGTGGACGTCAATATATCGTGGATCACATCAGAAATTACATGGGGGACTTTCAGGAACTAGCAGTGATGCAGAGAAGGAAAACGAGCTCACAAATAGACACGACAATTGGACAGAAGAGTGAAGGAACAGCAAAAGTTGCCTATAGTAAATACGCACCAGAATAAAAATAAAGTTTTTTTTTTATATTCTGGAACTGTAAATGCATTACATGTATCCAAATGATACATCGATGTGTTCATGCGGGGCTTATTGTATATGAAGGCGACCTCAGAATGTACTTGTATGAACAGGCATTCTTGAAATGGGTCATTGGATGTACAGTAGAGCTATCATCTTCCATCGCCAGGGCTAAAACTGTTTGCATCTAAGTATAACAAAAGATGCAAACAATTTTCTTCCATAAAGCACTACCGGCCAGTGGGAAATGGATTGTAGACACACACACACACAGCAACCGTGGGCGGTCAATCATGCTCATGCTCTACAGGTAAAATAGGAAATACAAGTTTATAACCGGATGAATTAATAAGATCTGAAAACCTCTCGATGGTTGGATGACTGAGAAATTAAGCAATATTTTCTGCGAAAACTTTGCAAATTTATCAACCAATCTTAGCGGCGCCAGTGGGGTAGTGGTAAGCATGATTGCCTCTCACCCAAAGGTTCAATCCCTGTCGGCACCACAAGGATTTTGTGATGCTTTAAAATCTCTGATCATGAACGGAAGTAAACCCGTTGGTCTTCGGTCCATGAACTGAGTCGATAGGTAGGGTCCATGTGTGGGAGCTTGCCTTCCTGATGTCGGTAGCATTTGTAGTCAATACGGAAAACAAGATCGACGGAAAACAAATCAAGGAAAAAAATCAACCAATCTTTATTGAGGTAGCCAAGATATGATTGGAGAGTTCTGATTTACTGATAATCAAATCCAAAGAATTTTGAGTAAGTTTAACGCACGCAATAAGCTAACATGCGATAAGCAATAAAATTTGAAACGCAAAAAAGAAGAAGAAGTATCATTATGCCCCCAATAATTTTCATAAATTTTTAAAATAGGTATAAAAAACGTATCGTAAGTAAAACGGAGTACCTTAGATAATGCGGGTAATTTTGGTAATAGAATATAACGATTAAAATTACTTCATGCAATTTTTAATAGAATATAAGTGTGTTCCGGTGGACCGTCAAAAGAGTTTTAGACCGAGAAAAGAAAGGACAACTAACCGCAAAGGTGGCCGCAGGTCGTCCGAGGTCAGCTCGGGTTCCGAGGGTTATGGCTGCTATCAAAAGGAAGATTCGGGTGAATCCAGTGCGTTCAATAAGGAAAATGGCAAAGGAACACGGGATCAGTGACTTTACGGCACGGATGATCGCAAAGGAAGATTGCGGGGGCGAAGTCGAGAGCACGGAAAAAACGAGTCGAACGATGCAAGAAAATCTTGAACTT